CAGTGGCCGTGCTAGTCTTCTCTGTATAGTTGTGATTTCATACTAAGAACCAAATTAGGACCTGGTGTGGTGTCCGAGTGGCTAAATTCTCGCCTTGTATGTGCCAGGACACAATATGGGTGCTGGTTCCTATCCTGGCTGCCCCACTTTCCATCCAGCTCCCTGCTTGTGGCCTGGGAAAGCAGTCGAGGACACCACAAATCCTTGGGACCCTGCACCTGTGTGGGAGACCTGGAAGAACTTCCTGGCTTCAGTCTTGGATCAGCGCAGCTCCAGTCATTGCGGCCACTTGGGGAGTGGACCAGCAGACGGAAAATCTTTCTATCTCTCCTTCTCTCTGTAAATCTGACTTTCCAATAAAAATAAATGAATAAACCTTTTTTAAAAATTACACAAATAACACCTGTCCCATGAATGCAAGGGTAGAGCAAAATAAAGAAAATCAATCAAGCATTACACACTGATATGCTGCCTGCAGAGACACAGAAAAGACATTTGACAAAATTCAGGATCTTTTCATGATAAAAAAAAAAAAAAAATGCCCAGCAAAACCATTAAGGCCCCGTGTGCCCAGCAAAACCATTAAGGCCCCGTGCAAGGCAAACACAAAAGGAACAACATCACAGGATTCAACGGATCTCCCAGAGCAGTCAGAGACAGGGAGGAACGGCGAACAGCGGGCTGAGGGAGGAGACCAGCTGCGGAGCAGGTGTTGAAGGAGCACAGCGCTTCAGACCGCGAGGACAGAGCGGGGCAGGCAGGTCTCTAACGGCTGCACGACAATGTTGACGCACACACATCAATATGGTTATAATGGCACATTGTTATGTTGTATAAATTTTACCACAGTAAATTCACACATGCGCACAAACACTTGTGGCGTTGTATGTGTGTGGGGGGGTTTTAGTGAACCAGGAATGGAATAAATTTCCCTTAACATTTAAGCAGCATTTATGAAAAACCCAGTTTAATGAAGAAACAGAGAAAAGAGGTATCCCTCATGAACAGACAACACCGCTATTCAACACAGCATTACAAGTCCTAACCAGAACAATTAGGCAATGCAAACTGAAAAGAAGTTAAAGCTGTCTTTTTTTGGGGCCCAGCAACATAACCCAGTGGCTAAAGTCATAGCCTGGACCACACCAGTTCATGTCCTGGCTGCTCCACTTCTCATCCAGCTCCCTGCTTGTGGCCTGAGAAAGCAGTCGAGGACGGCCCAAAGCCTTGGGACCCTGTACCCGTGTGGGAGACCCGGAAGAGGCTCCTGGCTTTTGATCGGCTGAGCTCTGGCCACTGCAGTCATTTGGGGAGTGAACCAGCAGACAGAAGATCTTTCTCTATATATCTCCTTATCTCTGTATATCTGTCTTTCCAATAAAAATAAATAAACCTTTAAAAAAAGAAGAAGAAGAAGGAACGGGAGACCTGAAGGAAATTTTTGGGAGAAAATATTTGCAAACCACACATCTAAGGGTCTTGTACTGAGACTATACCAAGAACGTTACAAGGGCAAAAAGTCAACTCAAATATAAACTAGACAAAGAACTTGCATAGACACATCTCTAACAAATGTATATGGGGTTAGACCTTTTGGTACAGTTGTTTAAACCATGACCTGTCACCCTGGCAACCCACGTGAGCACCAGTTCAAGTCCCGGCTGCTCCACTTCCAATCCTGCTCCCTGCTAGTGTGCCTGGGAAAGCAGCAGAGGATGGCCCAAGTACTTGGGCCCCAACACCTACATTTAGACACCAGGTGGAATTCCTGACCCTGACTTTGGCCCGGCCCTCACCACTGTGGCCATTTAGAGTGAAGATAAAAGATATATTTCTCTCCCTAACTGTGCCTTTCAAATATTTTTTCAGTGTGTACACAAAATGGCCAACATCAAACGAAATTGCGTTCAACACTACTGATTATTAAGAAAACGCAAATCAAACTTACATTTCAGTCACTAAGATGACTTTAATAATTTTTAAAATGAGAATGTGGAGGAATAGGAGGAATAGTTCAACACTTTTGGAAATGTAAAGTGGTTCATGTTATATATTTGTTTGTTTGTTTGTTTTTTCTTTATTTTTGACAGTCTTTACATAGTTAATTATGGCACAAAGGTTCAAGGGCTACAGGAAAGTGGGTAAGACTGTTACTTCCACATTGCTTTTTTCCTGTATCTGGGTAAGGGGGGAAGTAAAGGGAGAAGCCCCACCCAGTCTCCCACCCATCCCAGGTCCCTGACATGGGGCATGCTCCAATTATCTTGCTCAAGTCATTTTGATAGTTCAACAGTTATAAATTGCTGCCATTCTCACCATTCCAAACACGATGAGGTCGCTGCAGAATCCGCTGACTGACACAGTCCACCTTAGAGCCTCCGTCTGCCCAGTTTTTCACTGCCAACATATGGCTGGGGTAGTTGATTGATTTGTTCTGACCTCTGCTGTGGTGCCAGGTATCCTCTGAGGGTCATGTTATATATTTGAAGAAACTGTTGTTCTTCAAAAAGTTCAAAAACATAAGGGAGGCGCCTCGGGCCCAGCTGGGACACCCATGTCCCTTATCACAGTGCCTGGGGTGGACACCTGCCGCCAGCTCCCAAATCCAGCTTCTACTAATGTGGATCCCTAGGTGGATTCAGGGACTGAGTTCCTGCCACGTAGGAAACCTAGACTGGCTCCCAGCTCCCAACTTCAACACTGGTTCATTTGAGGAGTGAACTAGCGGATCAGAACATTCTCTCTCAAGGACGTCAACAAAATCGCTTCTAAGAAGTCAGATTTGGTGCCTGTGTCAGAATCATCTCAGATATGGAACCTTGCAAACTATATTTTTCATAAGTAGTCCAGATAACTGCCAGGAATAATAAAGTTGAGAACCAGGATCTAATTATAACACAAACTAATGCAAAAGATTAAACGTAAGAATCAAGAGAAACATGACAAGTACTGAATACATGCAACAGAGGAAGTTTAAGAAAGCAAAGCAAAGGGGAAGTATTGAACAAAGAAACATTCACTGATGATTAAAAACTGTTGTAGATTTGATACTGGAAAAAAATTCGAAATCTGAAAGCCATTCTTGTATCTGTAAAGAACACACACAGTGGATAATCTAGAAAGCTAGAACGGGGCAGACAGTTCCGTGATGATGGTTGTTACATAATAATCTTTCAGTAGTTATAGTCAATTTCATTACTTCCACCCTCCACCCTGGTAATCGGACTTCTTGTACCAATATTCAGGTAACCAACATGAATTATTAAATATCACCCCACATTCCGAAGTGCAGGGCCTTTATATTTAGACCCAATTAATACTAGTCTCTAGTAGGCCAACATAAACGAGGGCAGGTAGAATTTTAAAAGATAAATGTCTCAAGATTAAGAAAACTGGGCCCGGCGCGGTGGCGCAAGTGGTTAAAGGTCCTCGCCTTGCACGCCCGGGATCCCATACGGGCGCCGATTCTAATCCCAGCAGCCCCGCTTCCCTTCCGGCTCCCTGCCTGTGGCCTGGGAAAGCAGTCGAGGACGGCCCAAAGCTTTGGGACCCTGCACCCGCGTGGGAGACCCGGAAGAGGCTCCTGGCTTCGGATCGGCATAGTATCGGCCCGTTGCGCTCACTTGGGGAGTGAATCATCGGATGGAGGATCTTCCTCTCTGTCTCTCCTCTCTGTATATCCGCCTTTCCAATAAAAAAATAATAAAAATAAATCTTTAAAAAAAAAAAGATTAAGAAAACTGCATGACAGAACTTGAATTATTCTGAAAATCACTAAAACAAACTATAAGCAAAGATTCCTGAAGATACAAATATTAAGCTCAACATAGAAAGTTCACTCGGGGGCCCGGTGGCATGGCCTAGCATCTAAAGTCCTCGCGTTGGAGACAGGATCCCTTATGGGCGCCGGTTCTAATCCTGGCAGCTCCACTTCTCATCCAGCTTCCTGCTTGTGGCCTGGGAAAGCAGTCAAGGAGGGCCCAATGCTTTGGGGTTCTGCACCCATATGTGGGAGACCTGGAAGAAGTTCCTGGCTCCTGGCTCCGGATAGGTGGATCAGCACAGCACCAGCCGTTGTGTTCACTTGGGGAGTGAATCATCGGATGGAAGATCTTCCTTTCTGTCTCTCCTCTTCTCTGTATATCTGACTTTGTAATAAAAATAAATAAGTCTATTTTTTCAAAAAAGTTCACTCTGAACCAGTGGGAATTTCCAAAAATTGAAACTCCGGATAACTCTCAAAGGATCTCACGACCAGAATGAAAAATGGCCACTTTCCCCATCTCATCCCTTACAAACTCATACACCCAATAAGAAAAGCATCTAGTTCAAAATCTCTTAGTTCACTTATTTGGAAAATGCAACTACAGTAAATCTAAACTGTGACTGTAAGGTGCTTCAATAGATCTGCACGATTCTTGCAAATCTATAAATGAAAAACAGACAACTGGAAGAATGAAACCGCCAACAAATGCTAAGTTATACAGAAAACTACGCTGCTCTCCGTAATTTAAACTATTAGCATTCACCAAGAAGCATCTCAAAGTTACAGTCTCCTAAGTCAGACTTAAAGCGAGCTGGCGTGCAGGAACCGCCACGTCAATTTCTAGACCAAGATCCCTCATGTCGTTCCAACAAGCACTCAACCATCATCAAGAACCCCCAGGTCTGCCACCCCCTGACATCCTTCACGGGCTCAGTGTAACCCACAAATCTAGCCTCGTCCCCCAAAACACGCGCACAACCATCGGTTCCCAAGTCTCCCACACAGCCCCCAAAACATGCCCGTGGCTGCTCATGAGGGGCCACTCTCCCTTCCTCAGGGAGCCGGCAGGTCACATTGCCCACAATCTTTTCCCGTTTCGTCCGCAACACTCACTGCCCCGCGCAACAACAGAACAAGTCTCCCGCCCGCCCCCTGCCCCAACGCGGACGGCTCCGCTCCGTTCCCCCTTCCTTCCCTTTCTGCCTCTGGGACCCCCGGAGGCGTAGTCACTCACCTCATGCTGTAGGCTCCAGCGCCCAATTCCTGGCCGATCCCGGACAGGCTGGCATCAAAGTCCTGCACCAGTCCGGATTCGATCACTTCATCCGCCAGGGGCAGCTTCAGCGCCCAGGCCATCCTGGCTCTTCCCGTGCCTCAGGAGACACTTCTCGTGGGTACAAAGGCGCGGCGCGTGGTTCTCCTCGGCAGAAAACTCGGCAGCGAGCGCCGCCCGGCCACCCCGAGCCCACCTGACACGCTCGTGGCTGCCCCCTCAGCCCAGCTCTCCGGAGCCCCGCTCCTCCTCACTTGCCCGGCAGGCTCCGCCGGCTCTCCCCCGGCGTGCAGCGCCCGCCACCCGCCGCCAGCCCCGCGCCCGTCACCGCCTCCCGCCGCCTCCCCGCCTCCTTCTGCAGGGACCCCTCGTCTCCCTCCGGGGACCCGCTCTCTGGCCCCTCCAGGCCTCGCTTCCGGTCAGCCCTAAGATCACTTCCGGTCAGCCCTTCTCCCCGTCACGGCTCTCAGTACCCAGTGCAGGCGTCCGTGGAGCCCGCTCCCCGCCCTCCGCAGCCCGCCCTGACCCCGAAACATGGAGGGAGAAAGTCCAGCCCGGGACTGGAACCCGGACTCTCCAGGGGCCCTGCACGGCCCGCCGCGCCGGCCCCAGCCAATCATGGCGCCCTCTCCCAGGGCCGGCCTGGGGAGCGTGCCGTCACGCAGTCCCTCTCCAATAAGGAGGAGACGTGTGCGGGGTCGGCGGCGCTGATAGGCTGGCTGCGGCCCGGCGCCCCGCCCCCGGGGGTGCTCTGCGTGCTCTCTTGAAGGGTCCGGGCGCGCGGCAGCTGTGTGGTCCGTGTGTGTCTCCTCGCGAGGGCCGTGGGGGACCCGCCGTGTCCCCCCCGGGTGTCTCGCGAGGGCCGTGGGGGACCCGCCGTGTCCCCCCGGGTGTCTCGCCAAGGCCGTGGGGGACCCGCTGTGTCCCCCGGGTGTCTTGCGAGGCCCATGGGGGACCATGGCGGGACGCGCAGTGTCTCGCGAGGCCCGTGGGGGACCCGCCGTGTCCCCCCGGGTGTCTCGCGAAGCCCGTGGGGGACCATGGCGGGACGCGCGGTGTCTCCTCAGGAGGGCCGGGGGGACCCGCCGAGGCAGCGGCTTGAAGGACCTCACTCCTGGCCCTGGCGAACCGTCTGCCCAGTACTCCCGCCGGGCGTGCTTTTGCTGGGTTCATTCCCCTTTTCCTTGAACATCGCCGAAGTTCCCATTCCTCATCAGTCGCCTTCCACCTTCTCCCCAGTGCGTGTGAACACAGAATTATGAGATGGGGTGTTTTTTTAAAAAGCTTGTGAGGAACGTGTGCTTGTTGGTGACTTTCCTGCCGTAGAGGTGGTCCTTGTGCCGCAACGGCCTGGCTGAGATGCATACAGGCCAGTGTTGGTACTGGGTTAAGTCCCCACCCGGCCCCCTACGAATGACCCTGGGGAAGCAGCAGAAGATGGTCCACAGGGCGTGGGCCTCTGCAACCCGTGCCGCAAACCGGAAAGCAACTCCAGCCTTCTGGCTCTGGCATGGACAGTGTGGTCATTTGGGGAGTGAACCAATGGATGGAAGATTCTCTCTTTTCCCTCTCTCTGTAACTCTGCCCTTTGATTAAATAAAAATAAATATTTCTTTTAGAAAGTAAAATTTCTTAAACCCTCCTGAGTTCCAGGTTCCTCTTTTGTAGTGAGATCTACTTCCTTTGACGATGGTCATTATCAGCCAACTTCAAGACAATCTTGTAATGAGAATTCTATCGGAAAGGATAATGACCCTTATTTTACTAATGAAACATGGTTAAAGGCTTAAGTTGCCAGAGCTCAATTATCTTACCAACCGCAAAAAATCATTTTTAGAGCTGCTGCAGTTTTTGATACTAGACTGCCAATATTGTACAAATTTCTGGTTCTGTCCCAAAACCTGATACCATAATAATCCGCCTTGAGTGATTCTTTACATATGTTTGTTTCACTCAAAAGTCTGTGAACTAAAGAATGGGGCGTAAGTTTTATTGACTATGTGTTCTAAATAGCTCCTGCTGTAGTTCCTATGTTCAACATTACTTTTTAAAAATTTTATATATTTTTATTTTGAATTTTTGAATTATGTGGTGCAATGTCGTATAGTCTGGGATTCCCCCCAAACTCCCACCCCCTGACAAATTTTCCCCATTTCACTACAATGGTATGGTGCTTCATAAGGAATCACAATTCCATCAGTCTCTTATTTAAGTGTACCCCGACATTGCTGGTACAATGTCAGACAGTCCAGCATCCCATTGTCTACACATGTCCAACAGTTTCATTGGGAATCCATCTTTCATCTGGAAGCAGGGATGCATGTTGCCTTATACCCCCACATCTGGATATGGTAGACCCCAGTACTCCATCACTATACATTTCCATAATTGAGAAGCCATGAAACAAGGTCAACCACTGGTATGAGTTAGAACAACAACAACAATGACGACGACAAAAACAAATCACAGCACAAAGAAAAACGCACCACTGACTAACACACACGGGTGACAAAAAAGGAAACACAAAAGTCTCTTGGGAAAAATGATGCCACCATGTAATCCATGAACCAGCAATGAATTCAACAAGAGAAAAGAATGCTCAGTGAAATGAGTCAATCACAAAAGAACAAATACCATATGTTCTTTCTTATATAAGAAAACCAGCATGGAAAGAATAACTTTGCAGAATAACCTCAATAATCCGATCCATAGTGCGGTTTTTTTGTTTGTTTGTTTGGTTGGTTGGTTTTTTTGTTTTGGCTGCGTCTCATGTGTTTTGGTGTTTTTTTTTATCTCAGTTTTATTTATTTCGGCATTACTTTTTAAAAATTGTTTATTGTATTTTAAAAATGAACTAATAAAAGAATAAAGAAATAGATAGGCATAAAGTTGACAAACTGCCCTGAGAGGTTTCTCTCAAGGTTTTAGGCTTTAAACTTCTCTTGGTAAATCCGTGAATCCTAGTATTGATTCACTTTTCAGACATTCAGTCTTCAAGTCACTTATTCTTCTTGTGAACAAATTTTATCTCAAGGGCCCTGGCGTGGTAGCCTAATGGCTAAAGTCCTCACTTGCATGTGCCAGGATCCCATGTGGATGCCAGTTTGTTTCCCGGTTGCTCCACTTCCCATCCAGCTCCCTTTTTATGGACTGGGAAAGAGAAGAGGATGGAACACAGCAATGCGATCCTGCACCCACGTGGGAGACCCAGAAGAGGCTCCTGGCTCCTGGCTTTGGTCAACTCAGTTCCAACCATTGCAGTCACTTATAAAGTGAATCAGCAGATGAAAGATCTTTCTTGCTACCTCTTCTTCTTTCTGTAAATCTACCTTTCAAATAAAAAAATAAATAGATATTTTAAGAAAGATTTTTATAGAGGGCCATAGTGCATAAAACCAACACCTGTAATCTCTGCATGAAAGATCTTTTTAGGTCAAGCCTTCTGGGAGTTCTGGGTTCCTGCTGGATGTTGTTTCACAATCCGTACTCTAGATTAGAAAAATTTTTCCTTATTATTTCACTAAATACATTTGTAAACCCAGCTTGTTTTTCTATACCTTCTGGGACTCCAATAGCTCTTTTTTTTTTTTTTAAGATTTATTTATTTTTATTGCAAAGTCAGATATACAGACAGAGGAGGAGAGACAGAGAGGAAGCTCTGTCCATCCGATGGTTTACTCCCCAAGTGGCCACAACTGCTAGAGTTGAGCCAATCCGAAGCCAGGAGCTTTTTCCAGGTCTCCCATGCGTGGGTGCAGGATCCTAAGGCTTTGGGCCATCCTCAACTGCTTTCCCAGGCCACAAGCAGGGAGCTAGATGGGAAGCAGGGCTGCTGGGATTACAACCGGCGCCCATTTGGGATCCTAGCACAAGGCGAAGACTTTAGCCACTAGGCCACGGTGCAGGGCAGGCCCTTCAAAACACTTATAAAATTCTTTAGTGACTCATAAATCATACAGTAGCATCATTTTCTTCAAGAAGATTCTTGATTTTCTTTTTCATTTCTTTTGCGACACATTAGTCATCTGGTAACATTTAACTTTATGGCATTGTAAATTTCTATTTTTCTTCCTGCTGTTGATTTTGTACTGTGGCTTTTCATTTAAAGGGTTGTACAGTAACTGTGTAATGGAGACTATCATATCCAAATGTGAAGATACAATGCAGTATGCATCTTTACTTCCAGACCAAAGGTGGACTCTCAATGAAACTGTTCACTATATCTTTTTTTAAAAAAAGATTTATTTATTTTTATTGAAAAGTCAGATATATAGAGAGGATGATAGCAGAGAGGAAGATCTTCCATCCGACGATTCACTCCCCAAGTGACCACAACAGCCAGTGTTGTGCCAATTCAAAGCCAGGAGCTAGGAGCCTCCTCCTGGTCTCCCACATGGGTGCAGGGTCCCAAGGCTTTGGGCCATCCTGGACTGCTTTCCCAGGCCACAAACAGGGTGGTGGATGGATGGGAAGTGGAGCTGCCAGGATCCTGGAGTGTTCTAGGTGAGGACTTTAGATACTAGCCCATCGCGCCAGGCTCATATTCACTGTATCTTGACAATAAGATGCTGGATTCTCTGCCATTGTCCATGCCACAATGATGGACATATGACTGTGTATGAAGAACTATGCTATAGTAATAATATAGGGAACTCAGTGGCTGGGAGGGAATTTGAGGAGGAGCGAAGGGAGGTCCTAGGGCCCATGAAACTATATCATAAAATGATGATAATAATAATTTTTACCTCTTTTTATTAAAGAGGTAAAAATAATAAACAATTTGAGGTGGTGGTCATATCTAAGGAAATTCATCAATATGAGCTGGAGAAGAAACAAAACATATAACAGTTATTGTAGTGAACTTACTTAAGTTGAGTGGTAGATCCATGGGTAGTAATTACTTCATCTTTATGCTTCAAAACTTGCCCAAAAAAAATGTATTCTTTTCTTTTTTAATACACGAATTTGAAAGGCGGATAGAGGGAGACATGGAGAGAAGTCTTCCATGCACAAGTTCATTCCCCAGATACAACAGCAGCGTGTGGGCCAGGCCCAAGCCAGGAGCCTAATATGCAATCCAGGTGTTCTATTGAGAAGGCAGAAACGCAACTAAAGGAGGCATCACCTGGGACCTCCAGGGTGTGCACTAGCAAGTGGTTGGTGATGAGTATAGATTAGCACCCATCCTAAGACAAAATCAATTACCTCGGAGGGCTGAGGGCTCAGTCTCCTTGAGTCAGGGAGTCCCCCGCGTCCCTTCTCACTTAGTTCTCGTTGCTGGGTTTCCACGCCAATCCCTGTTTTTTTTTTTTTTTTTTTTTCCTCTCCTGGTGCAGGAAGAGAGCAGGGACCAATGTTGTGGCATAGCAAGTAAAGCTGCTGCTTGCAGTGCCACCATTACCATATAGGCGCTGGTTCAAGTCCCAGCTGCTCCACTTCCAATGCAGCTCCTCACTAATGGCCCTGGGAAGATTGCCTAAGTCATTGGGTCCCTGCACCCACGTGGGAGACCCAGAAGAAGACCAGAGCTCCTGCCTTTGGTCTGATACATTCAGCCATTGCAGCCATTTGAGGAATGAACCAGCAGGTGCAAGATCTCTCTCTTTCTTCCTTCCTCTCTCCATGCAACCTTGACTTTCAAATAAATAAATCTTTGCAAGATGAAATTTTTTCTAAAGGAAGAGATCACTAGGCAGATGGGTCCTTTTGAGGACCAACCATGGAAACTTGCCTCCTCATGGCTTCCCACAGCCCAGCGCAGGAGTTCCAGTGTGGCTTCTCTTAAGGCCCTTATAGCTGGAAGGAAATGAAAAGAGAAACATTCACAGATGCGCGGTGCCAGACCATCTCAGGCTCTTCCTCTCGGCTTGGCTCTGGGCCGGAACCCAGGACAGTGTGACCTTCCTAGCCATCCACAATGCAATGAACTTTCCTAAGCCCAAGAATAAAATCTGCAGCCCTTCCCCAAAGCCAGCTCTAGCTCTGTTCCTTCCAAGCCTTCTTGGACTCTCTGCAGAAACCAGTCTCAACTGGTCTGAACCAGAGATCTCAGCTCCCAGGCACTCTCCCAAGGGGGGACCTGCAGGGAGCTGTCTGGCTCTAATCGAATTCCACTCACACCCGCATTTCTCCGTGCAAACCCTGCATAAGAAGCTGAACTCCCAGCCTGGACACCTCCTACTAAGCCGGAGGTGTCAGGAACTCAGCCTTTCTATGCACGGAGAGTCAGTTGCAGCCCCTTAGGGACAGCCAATCTCAGGATCGGGAGATTCAGGCAAGGGTAAGTGCTGACTTCTGTATGATTTTTGTGCAAGGTCACTGGAGACCCCCAAGAAGCACTCCCAATCCCAGAGCCCTAGAGCAAAGTCTTTGCTCCACAGTGTAAGGGGAGGGTGGTGGAGTCGAGGTTGAAGCCCAGCAGCTCAGGGTCTGGCCAAGGAACGGTGGGTGGGTGGAATCACAGGCAATTACGTTCACCATTTAGATTATGGAGTCTAGATCCCATCAATGCCGGCAGGGTCGAGGAGGGATCTGCTGAATAACAGGGATGAGTAGGGGGCCGGCAGCTGTGCTCTTCCAGCATGGAGCTATCCAGGAGTTTCTGCAGCCATGGCCAACAGCATAATCTGTGCTTGGAATTAGGAGCACAGCTGTCCGGGAAATGGGCTTGGCCTGGAATTCTGGAGTCCTGGGGACAAAAAGGATGGCCTAGAAGGAGAAGTGGTACCTCTCTTTGGCTCGCAGTGGGATTTTCCAGGTGGCAAGCTCCCAACACATCCCTGGCCTCTGGCACTGGTGCCCTGTGCTTCCACTCTGAGAAATCAGCAAGAAGTAGGCAGACGAGTACAAAAGAAAAAATACCATTTATTCCACACAACTACTTCAAGTGCTTCTTCCCATTCTGGCCACCCCTAGCCCTCCCTTCAGCCCTCAGTAGACTTTGTCAGGACCTCAAAGCCTGGTCTCTGAGTCAGGAAAACAAACAAACCAACAAACAAAAATAGGGACCTAGGCAGGTGCCTGGATTTCCAGGAACAGAAAAACTTCAGGGCTTCTCCTTCCAAATTCAGGTGTGCTTCTTGGTCCATTTGGCAGAGTTGACTTCCCTGAGCCCTGGCCCCACTCCAGATGCCATCAGCAGCACAGCGCCAAAGATCACTCACCAAGCCGCAGAAAGTTCTGGCTTTTCTTTCGCTTAAGCAAATACCACACACAGTGAAACCACTCCTGCCTTTATCATTTGCTCTTTCCAGGGCTCAGAGGCCACAGAGTTCTGGATGCTTTCAAAAGAAAATGTGCACCAACTCCCTTCCAGTCTCACCTCCTGGGTGTGACTCACGGCTTGACGGTTTCCCTGGGGTGCTACGGTGGGGAAACAACAGCAGAGGTCACAGGCCAGCAAGCTGCACCATGGGTGCAGGTTAGGGAGATCCTGCACCTGCCTCTGCAGCATCTCGTCCTGGTATTCCTCCGAATGGACGACCCATCCTTCGAGAAGACTGTTTGCATTCAGCCTAGCCTTAGGAAAACAGTGCAGAGAGGGGCTAAGAAAGCACGGCCAGGCCTAATTCAGACCAGTGATCCAGGAGTTTTTCCTGCCACGACACAGGACAGATAGGTTACGTGTCCACACCCTGGCCTCTGCATCACTCCTAGGACTCCACCTGTGACCCACCATGCACTCTCACCTAGAGACAACACATACATGAGTGCAAGGGTCATCTCAGCATGGAAGCTGCAGCTTTCTAACGTATGGACTGAACACTTCATCCTTACCCAACACTCTTCCTGGATGAGTGTGTCACGTGACTGTGGTACACTGAAAACCACCACGAATATAAACAAGGAGCCTCCTGCTGGAGATGCCTCTCCTGGGAACCGCCCCAGGCAAGCTGCCCACCTGCCTCCTCAGCTGGTTCAAATGGTCAGATGCAGTGGGGGCATGTGTGTGCATGTGAGAGGCACCCCACAGCATCACAGGGCCCGGATCCCATGGGATGCCACCTTGGCAGCAGGTGCTGGAGACCAGGCTCTGTGAAGGCAGTACGAGGAAGAGTGAGTGGCTGCCCCCTGCTGGTCATCCAAACCCATCTCTCGTGCTCTCCTGACTTTCTAGTCACGCACCGATTTTGATAGATTCGTCATCTTGGACAAGATGTGCCACAGCTACCCTCGCTAGAGGCAAAGCCCACCCTGATCTGGGCATGTTCTGGCTTTGCAAGGAGCATGGTGGAGGTTTCCTTCAGACATGGAATGAGACTCTGGACAGAATGAGATTTCTTCTCTGATGCTCAAGGCCTCAAGCTACAGAGGAGTTCAGTTGACCTCCACAAGAGCCGTTCCAGGGTCTAGCAGGTCTCCCCCAGGGGCCTTGCTGTATGGTCCATCACTGAATTTGCTTCTTTTGAGATGGCCCTGGTACTAGGCCAGGGCAGGGTGTGGGACAAGAGAAAAAGTTGGCATTCCGTTCCTCATTCTTCCTTCAGGGCTGCCTGCTTGCCTGGGCAGTGGGATGTCCTAGACTTCATATCCTCTAATCCACACTCTTTTTGTTGGGCGCGGGGGAAGAGCTATGGACAGAGAATAGATTACAATCTGGGAGAAAGGCCTAGTCTACCAAGTTCTCCATGTGCTGCAGACATGGACAACGCCAGGGAAGGCAGAGCACACCGTTGCTTTCGTCCGACACAGTTGCAAAAGAAAAAAAAAAAATGGAGTATGTAGGGTTTCTCAGCTTTAGTGCAGTCTTCCCTGTTCCTCCAAGGAACCAGGAATAGGCGGGAGAGGAACTTATATGGTTTGGTTCCAGAGTTGTAGGAACCTTCTGACCCCAAGGCCAAGGCCAACATCGAGTCTGACTTCCGAGTGGCATGTCACACCTGTCTGAATTTAAGCTCCTGGATCGTCTTTGGGAGGGGAGGGGAGCAGTGCGTCTGCAGGCGAAAGTGGGAGTAGGCAACGTGAGCCTAGGCTTCCATCAGCAGAGTTGTCCCACCTGCCATAGGAGACAGGGCAGAGAGAACATGACAAGGAAAGCAAGGACTGATAGCCACAGCCAGTTCTAACGACAGGGAGCGGAGAGTCTCTGGTTTCCAATCCAGAATCCACCCTTCAGAAACCACGTGAACAAAGTGCTTCTCGAAGCGACACCACAGAGTCCCCCTCTTCAGCATGCTCAAGCGAAGGCCTGGAGCTCCCTTGGGGGTCCCTCCAACTCCTGGCCCCCCGAGGATGTGAGCTATGTGGGGCGTGGGAGAGGGCAGAGGGAGCCATCGTCGCACATGCACAGAATGGAGTCCCCCAACCCAGGGCAAGCATGGCTGCAGGTGGCAACAGGACAGGCTCTGCCACAGCAGTGGCTGCAGCCGGGTGCCAAGGGGAAGGAAGAAAGTGCTAGAATCTGGGGTGGGGCTGGGGGCGCTGAGCCCTAGGGGATCTGAAAGACGTTCAGCTTGCTGGTGTTCTTGAGCGTCTGGCGCCGGTTGCAGAACCAGACCCGCACAACCTCGCGGTCGTAGTTGAGCTCCTTGGCAATCTCGGTGATTTCCTGGCCAGTGGGCAGCGGGTTCTTCTCGAAGTAGGCGTTGAGAGCCTCTATGGCCTGTGGCGTGAAGGACGTGCGGCGTTTGCGCTTCTTGGAGGGCTCGCCTCCTACGAACTCCATCAGGTTCTGCTGGCCCTCCTGGTTCCGGAGTTCGGCCTCATTCAGCCACCGCTCCAGCACCGGCTTCAGCTTCTGGGCACTCTTGGGCGTGATATCCAGCTTCTCAAACCTGTAGGCCACCCACACCCAGGACAGGGCTATGAGAGGGCTCGGCCACTCTGGCACCTCCCACACTAGCTAAGCATGGTCCCTAGGTGGGAGTTCTCATACCTGCCCCACCCCAACCCCATCACCTTCATTAGAGCCCATTTGGACCAATCCTGGACTGTTCAGACTCCCCAGGACCCCAGGGCCCCGACAGACAGACCATCCCTGAGGCCCCCAGCTCAGTCAACAGCATGACAATAATAGCGCAGCTGCTTATGAACAACCATTCCCAAACTTTCCCAGCCAGCCTTTGACCTCCAGTTGGCACCTCCAGCTGGCAGACCTCCAGTCGTTCTGAGTACCAAGCCTCTCGACTATTGCTGCCAGCATCACTGTCAGGCCAGGCCCCCTTTCCTGGCTGAGCTACCATGGCACTGCAGTCGGTGAAACAGCTGTGCTAGGCTGTCGCTCTGCTCTGTGGGGTTTGGCAGGCAGGTGAGTCCACCCTGTCTGAAACTGTCTGTTACTCCTCCTCTGGTGCCAGTGCTGAAAGCTACCCGCGGCCTGGGCACAGGCACAGGCAGCTCCATGACTGTGTAGTCACACCTTGCAGGAGACAGAGATGGCAGCGTGCCAGCCTGAGGTGCGTTACAATTGAGACCACAACAGAACTGATGCTTCCACTTCTGTGACTCACGTCCTAAGCTCTGCTTCTTTCTCACTAGGATTCCTGACTGCACAGGGGACTTGGGTTCCCACAGAGAAGACCACACGAATGCTCAGCATCAGAGGGTCCACTCAGAGGGCCCCAGCAGGGCTGGATTAGCCTTGGCCCCCTCCAGGTGTCCCCATCTACCTTAGCATTGAGCTCCCCACGCAGAGGAAGGCAGGATGAGTGGGAGAAAATACAGACAGAAGCTGGATGCCAGTCCCCATCGGTGCTGGCGACACCAGGCACTGCACAGACACTGCTCTTGCCCAGGACAGCCGTACTCACCGGCATATAGCTGATTGGCTGTAGGCCGGACCTTCCGTTGCAGTCAGAGCCTGGCCCACCTGGGTTTGGGTAAGACCCAGGGATAGCCGCCGGATCTTAAAGTTCTTGGCAAACTCTCGAATCTCTTCTAAGTTGATCCCGTCCTCATCCAGGCTGGGCGTGTGCGGCTCTAGGTCAGAGGGAAGGACCAAGAATGATTATATAAGATAGGAATCACTACTGATTCTTCCTGGGTCGTCTGATGCGAACATCTGGCAAAGGCTCAGGAATCCCCCTTCCTCCCTGCCCCCCAGCAGGACTCGGGGCGCGGAGACGGGAAGAGAGGCCTGGAGCCCTCTGTCCGGGAGAGAGGTCTACTTTCTAGTGCTTCAGGCTCTGGCTGTTCACCTGCCCCGATTCTTACTCTGCTGGTCACCAGTACGCCTGCTAGTTGTGCACATTCTGGGTGGAAGACTGCAGCAAAGGCAGCCGATGGCTTGGCCTCCACGGCCATTACACCCAGAATCCAGCTCTGCAGGAATGGAGGGCCAAGGGAGCCGGCCCCTGTCCTTCCCTCTTGAGCTCCAGCAAGTTTTCTCCAGAAACCAGCACTGGGAGAGGCTGCAGCCCAACTTAATGCCTCCCCATTAGCCCACACTCCCCACTAGCCCAGGAGCCACTTACTGGACACCAGTTGGCTGACTGTGGGCGTCTCTGAGCAGGTAATCGGGATGGGAGCTGAGGCGGATGGCTTGACAGCAGGGGCTGGGCTGGCGATGACCACAGCAGGCGGGGCTGCAGCAGGTGTGGGCTGGATGGGCTGTACCTGTGAGGGAACAACAGCCTCTGTTGCCCTGCCCGGCTCATGGGGTTGGAAGCCCCGGGTGGACATCAGCAGTGCAGAGGGGGCACATAAACCCCCCTCTCACCCACCTCAATCCCACTTGTGTCCTTTCAACAGACAGGAAGTTATTGATCAATACGTACTCCATGATAATGACACCCCCTAGGAGGCATAGCCACGTGTTCTAAAAGATGGGGCACCACAGCCTCCTGTATGCAGGCAGTTTCAGTACCCTTGGCCAAAGCACCACTCTTGGGAAACTGCTCTCAACCTCTTCCCTCAACCAAGAAGCCTAACTCTGATTCCGGAGCCTGTTGGACTCAAAAACCCATAAATAGGGAAGGAGACTATTAAGTGAGTGCCGCAGACCCCTAAAGTGATACACTATGTAACCATCAAAAATGATAAAGTATCTCTCTTCACTGCTCCTGGCCTCTGAGTCTTAGTCCCAAGTGAGAAAAAAACAAAATACAAAAGCCATTTTCAGGGGCCAATGTCATGGTCCAACAGGTTAAGCCGGATCCCGTTAACACCACCATCCCCTACAGGCACTGGTTTGAGTCCTGGCTGCTCCTTGATCATCTCCTGGGAAAAGCAGCAGAAGATAATGCAAGTGTGTGGGCCCCTGCCATCTATGCAGGAAATCCAGAAGTTGCTCCCGGTTCCAGGCCTGGTCCAGCCCCAGCCACTACAGCCATCTGGGGAATGAACCAGTGAATGGAAAATCTCTCTCACTTCCTCTGTTTTAACTCTTTCAAACAAATGAATAACTCTTTATAAAGTCAAAACAAAAGCCAAAAAAAAAAAAAATTCTATGGAAGAATTGCCTTTAAGGAATTCACTTGAATTTTGAGAAAAGCAAATCTTGAAATGGAAGCCATCCTTGGAAATGAAATTAGACAAGACTTTACTTCTTGTTTGGCTTTGAGAGAGGGCAGCCAGATGGGCAGTAAGAGCTCGCATTCGCAGGTTTACCAGATGCCCGACAGCCTGAGCCAGCACAAAGCTGCAGCAGGAGATGCAGCCTGGGTACACTGCCTGAGTCACGGGGACCATCAGCCCTGCCAGGAAGCCCAGGGGTTCCGATGCGGGATGCAGCATCCTGGCTGGGCTCACAGCCATGAGGCTCAACACCTACTTCTTACTGTTCCCTTGGTAATGTCGGAGGGTCTTCACAAGAATTAGAAAAATGGAATGCCATGTTGGTCATCAGAAGAAAGCATAAATACACAAAGCAAGGAGTATTTCTTTTTTAGAGAGCTAGTAGTATAATTTCTTTTTTAGAGAGCTAGTAGGGACCACAGGTTTCTTCGCAAGGCCCTGCTACTTGCCTTCTCTACCACCTGGTGGTGGCCTCTGCCTGGTTCCAGAGCACCTTTCTCCTTCAAGAATTGTATAAACTGGGGCCCAGCGTGGTAGCCTAGTGGCTGAAGTCCTTGCCTTGCATGCACCAGAATTCCATAAGGGTGCCGTTTCGTATCCCGGCAACCGGAGGATGGAAGCTCTCTGTCTCTCCTCTCTGTAAATCTGACTTTCCAATAATAATAATAATAATAATAAAATCTTTTTTTAAGAGAGAGAGCTATATAAACTGCCTCCTGTCAGGGGACAGGGTTTTGCATCTTCCCACTACCTTAGGGTAGCAATAACAGCAGCAGCTGTTTCAAAGCACTTATTGCCAGTGGGTAAGTAACATTCAGAACCTTCTGATGTTGCTACTCTGACAACCTGTTTGACAGACTGCCCAAGGGGTTCTTTACAAGGCTAGCAAGCAGCAAACCACACCTGAGATGTCCCAGCTCCCAAATCACCTGGACAACTTACCGCCGCGATCCCGGGCCCAGGACCGGGAGCTGAAACCAAGCCCCAGAACCACTACTGCAGCGTAAGGAACTTGTCGCAGTGTCCCAGGGACAGAATACCCTCACATCCATCTCCTCCCTTTGGAGGAGTTCCGGCCCCTTCTCTAAGCAGCCAAAGCTTCTGTTCTGTCAGGCCCTCCCTTCTCTGGGGTCCCAAAGCACCTTATCGCTGCCTAGTCACAGGCATTGTCAGGGGACTTGTAACTGTCACCAAAATAGGGCCCTGGGCTACACCGAGCATTCCAGCTGCCTCTGTCTTCAGGGCTTGGGAGAGGATTGTCACTCAAAAAAAAAAAAATCCTGTGAAGGACAGGCATTTGGCCTAGTGGATAAGCTGCAGGTTAGACACCCACATCCCATATCCAAATGTCTGGCTTTGATTCCTGGCCCCAGCCCCTGACTCCAGGCTCCCGCTAACATGGATCCTAAGCAGGAACGGTGATGGCTGTGGGGTTCCTGACACCCACAGGAGAGGCCTGGAGTGTGTTTCTAGCCTCTGTATCAGCTCCAGCCTTGCCCTGGCCGTTGCAGGCACCTGTGTGTGTGAGGGGGGAGTGGGACATGATTGGATGGGAGCTCGCACTCTCTCTCTCTCTCTGCCTTTGTCTCTACAAAATAAAGAGCCAAAGCCAAAGCCACAAAGAAGGTGTGAAGATGGGTAGACATAGAATGAACTTCCTGGGACTGATCCAGGCCCAGGCTCCTTTGATCAGCCCCTCCCTGCTCTTCTGGCTCTGGTGTCTGAGAGCGCTGCCGCACGTGGTGAGTGTAGGCTGGGTCTGAGACAGCATCTCCCCAGGCAGGGCACTTGTGTACTGTGCCAGCCTTCTATGTCCCTCTCTCGGCAGTCGAGAGGGAAGCAGTCCATCCCAGGCAGTACCCTCAGCCCCAGCCCCGGTACCTCACTCTTAGCAGGGGACTCAGGCGTGCTTGACTTCCGGACAGCTACAGGCGGAGGCATGGGACTGCTGGTCAGCGTTGCGATCACCTGGCCCTGGGCGTTCAACAACAACTGGGGGGTCACGGCCTGGACCTGCAGGCTTTGTGCTGGTGCTGGGGCCGCCACGCTAGCCGAGTTCACTACCCATGGAAGGGTTCCAATAACCTGGCAGGAAATAAGGTGAAGGACCCTAGGGGTGAGGGTGGTGTCCTTCTCTGTCCCTAACCCAAGTCTTCACACTGGCAGGTAAAAAGGACTAGCTTAGAGTTCATCATGGAGCCCCTCTGGCCTCTGTCTGGCTCCCACTCCAGGGATGCCTGCCTTTATTATTCCATTCCCCAGAGCAGGGATGGGCCTTGGAGTGACTCAGACTCAGATGCAGCCCTCTGATCTGCCACATTCCAGTTGTGTGGCTTCATCTTTCTGAACCTCAGCCTTCTCGCCTGTAAAATGGGAACTAAAAGAAAACCTTTACCTGACGGACTTGTACTTAAACGAACCAAGATGGTGTGTAGCAAAACTTTTAGCCGGATGTCCGGCCGCCAAGTGAGCGTTCCGCAGGCGAACCTCGCCATCCCACCCTCGCTTAGACAAACTCCCCCTGGAGCAGCGTGAACGTTCTTCAGAGAGGTTACCGACAAGAGCTTGGCACTCTAGTCAAGCGTCTCAGCCTCTCGGCCGGAGCCCTGGCCCCCTCGCCCGAACGGCCACCCCATCGTTCCCAGCACTCCGCCCTGGCTTTGGCCACTTGCCTGTCCCTGAGCATTGGTGAGGATCTGACTGCTGATCCCCGGCATGCTGGGAATGGCGCTCGTAATGACCGGTGTCGTGAGGGAGCCCAGGATCTGGGTCTGTCCCCCAAGGGAAGCGGCACTGATCTGTGGGCAGAGGAAGAGGCCTTGCTCAGAGGCCATGGAGCAAGCAAGGGATCCGGGCTCAGGGGAAGGGGCTGGGCGGAGGTGAAAGTACTGGACTGTGGGCCCCTTATCCACCAGCTGCATAATGGTGCTCAAGGCTGTGGGCTGCAGAAGGGGTGCTCATGGGACAGGCAGGGCCAGGGTCATGGAATAGTAATTCTGGGTCATCTTTCAGACCAGGCCTGGGAGAGTAGAAGGGCCACAGTGCAGGGACCGGAGGCACTGGGAGTCACATCTCTCCTTGCCTGACCTGGCCAGCAGCCACTGTGGAGAGCCCCTGGCTGCCCCCTAGTGACAGCTCGTGGGCCTTCGAGCCCTGTGGCCATCAGCCCACCCTCCGGCTGGTCCAGCGGTTCAGGCTTCGGAGTGCCCCAGAGCCACTCTGCTTCTGCCCATGCTGGACAGGTCAAGAGCCGGCAAGAAGACCCCAGAGCGGGCCCCATCTCTGCCGGACACACTTCACGGGGCTGGCCCTCCACCGCAGGGAGAGTCACTTCCACCCCAGACTTGGTCCATCTCTCAGTCCATCACGGGAGAGGGCAGCGGCTTACGATTCCCGGGCTAAACGCGAAGCCTGCAGGCTGGACGGTGATCTGGGGAGGGGTGTCCACCGGCTTGGGGGTGGGGGCAACAGCGGTGGCCGCAGCGGGCTGCGGGAGGATGGCAGGTGCGGTCTGCAGCAGCGGCTGGGTCTGGAACAGCGTCTGGGGCTGGGCTGGTGGCCGGGGCTGGGCCGCTGAGGTCTGTATCGGAGGGGCCGCTTGTACCGGTGCCGGGAGAGCAGTGTTCAGCACAGCCGCCGCTATGGAGCAAGGCAGAGGACAGAGGCGCTCAAGTGCCTAGCCACGGCCCAGAGAGGCTCCAATCCCAAGGGATCTGGCGCGAGACCCGAGAGGGGTTAGGGCAGTGGACATGATGGAGGAGTGGGGCAACGGCAGCGGCTGCGATGCCCTCCATCCATGAAGGTTGGTAACAATGCCAACAGCTCTCCTCTCCCCACCCCCACCCTTGGGCCAGGAGACACGCAGGTGGAAGACCCCAACGTGGATTCTTCTCGTGGTCCTTTTCTTGGGAGCTGGCAAAGTCTGGCGTGGGGATGAGGGGGCAGTCCCATTCAGTTGACAGAAGCAAGACCCCAGCCTGGGTCTTGGCCCACAGTCCCAAGTGCTGCAGCAGCTCTGTGGCTGGGATCCAGACTCCGGGGCTGCGGCCCGGGAGGGCGGTGGATTCTGAGTTCGACATGGCAAAACACACGTGCAGGGGCGGTGGTGGAGGGCGGTGGGGGCCGCGTGCAGTCCTGGGAGAGTGGCCGTTACCTTGGAGACCGGCTAAGGGTGGCTTGAACACTGCCCCCGGGGGAGAAGCAGCGGCCAGTCCGGGGAGGGCAGCCACGGTTGCTGTAGGAATTGTCCACACGGCCAGCCCCTGCTGACCAGCCACTTGACCTGCAATACTGATGGGGATAAGAAGAGGTTGAGTAACTGCCCCTGCTGGAACCATAACTCCTGTCAGAACTGTGGCTAAGTTTTCCTGAGTCAAGACCTGCAAAAGCAAACGAGATTTCAAAAAGAAAAGAAAAAATAAAAGAAAATCAACATCCATGGCACAAAGGCTGGGTCTCTAGGACCCAGATGAGCACAAACAAAGCATTCTGAGGGCATGGAGTAAGGGGAAAGATCACACACGGATGGGGAAGGCTCCAGACCATCCTCCAACACAGGAAGTGGTACCCCAGCCTCGGTGGCAAGTCAGCAGCCTCCCAGGCCTTTCCCCAGGGCAGGATGGGGGTCAGGGGGTCCACAGGACTTGGGGGAAGCCCTGACAGGGCACAGCTATCTAGCTACTGTCCGGATCTAAATGAATATGCACACCCGGAGCTGGAGGGTTCATTTCGTCATCAGAGGAACAGAAAATCTGGCAGCAGGCGAGTGAACGCCATTTCTACGGTCTTCTTGGACCCACAGACACTGCCTGGCAAATGCAGATCCACTTTCCCAAACGAGCCTGGGCTGGGGCAGGCAGAAGCCAGGGCACCCGGTGGGAGCGACCCTCCCCCATCTTGCCTCCCCGGCTTGCAGGGGCCCATGGCCACCCCCGTGCGATGCTGCTGCCCACTGCCCCCCGTCCAGCCCCAGGCGGCCCTTACCTGGGGGGCAGCTTGTACTGTCAGCGGCGTCAGGGTCTGCGATGCCGCCTGAGGCTGGCTTGGGGCTTGGCTGAAGGTGGCAATGCTGGGGGCAGGACTTGGAAGGGTCCCTGCGAGTGACTTGACTTCACACGGCATTGAGAAAAAGAAGGACAAGGAGTGATGAGCCTGATGGAAATGACAGGGTCATGGGGCAAAATATCTCATTCAACTAGCTTCCTGCTACGGAACCTGGGAAAGCCATGGAGCACCGGTTGAATAATTGGGCTGCTGTACCCATGTAGGGGGTTGGCCTAGAGAGCCAGGCTCCTGGCCAGTCCCAGCCCACGTTTTAATATAGAAAGGGGCTAGTGTTGTGGCACTGCTGGTTTACCCACCACTTGTGACTCCCATAGGGGAGGATGGGTTCAAGTTCTAGCTGTTCCACTTCTAAGCCAGCTTCCTGCTCATGCACCTGAGAAAGCAGCAGAGGATGGCTCAAATACTTAAGTCCCTGCCACCCATGTGGGAGAGCCAGATAAAGCTCTTGACTCTTGGCTTTGGGCTGGCCCAGTACCGGCCATTGTGGTCATTTGGGGAGTGAGATACAGAATGAAAAAAAGTTCTCTCCCTGTACATACACTTGTAAAAGGCCTTATAAAATACTAAAAGGTGTGTCTCTCCTCCTCTCTGTATATCTGACATCCCAATAAAACAAAAAATAAAAAATAAATAAATAAAGATAGAGGCCCAGTGGTTAAGGTTCTCACCTTGCTTGTGCCAGCATCCCATATGGGCCCCAGCTGCTCCACTTCCCTTCCAGCTCCCTGCTTGTGGCTGGGAAAGCACTCGAGGACGGCCCAAAGCCTTGGGACCCTGTACCCACGTGGGAGACCCAGAAAAATCTGGTTTTGAATTGGCTTAGCACCAGCCATTGCAGCCACTCGGGGACTGAAACTCAGTGGATGGAAGATCTTTCTCTCTGTAAATCTGACTTTCCAATAAAAAATAAACCTTAAATAATAATAATAATAATAATAATAATAAAAGAAAAATTAAGTGGAAGATGTGTCTGCTCTGTGGTGGAATATACTTGTTTTCATAAATAATCAATTTGTTTATTCACATATTTATCTGTAAGAGCTCTAGAGAGGGAAGCACAGAGGTCTTTGTTCCGCTGGTTTACCCCCAGAGGACCGGGTAAGCAGCCCATGCCAGGAGGCAGGAACCAGGAATTTCTCCCAGGTCTCCTTCATGGCTGGCAGGAGCCCAAGCACCAGGGCCAGAGTCCACTGCTGTTTCCAGGCCATCAGCAGGGAGCCAGATCAAAAGCAACCAGGATGTGAACTTCCCATTAGGAATGCCAGCATTCCAGGGGGCAGTTCTACCTACTACACCAGAATGCTGGGTCCAGAAGACACTTTTCTAACTTAAAGATAAAAATAAGATAAAGGTAACTGACATAGGAAAACTGGCTCATTTGGCTAGTCTTCCCTTGGCAAGTACCCACATCCCATATGGGCACTGGTTCATGTCCTGGCTGCTCTATTTCCCATCCAGCTCCCAACCTGTGGCCTGGGAAAGCAGTCGAGGACGGCCCAAAGCCTTGGGTCCCTGCAACCACATGGGAGACCTAGAAGAGCTCCTGGCTCCTGGCTTCGGATTGGCTCAGCTTTGGCTGTTGTGACCATTTGGAGAGTGAACCCGCAGGTGGAAGATCTCTCTCTGTCTCTCTCTGTATTTCTTTGTAACTCTGACTTTTATTTTTTTTTATTTATTTATTTTTTTTTTAAGATTTATTTTTATTATTTTTTCATTGGAAAGGCGGATATACAGAGAGGAGAGACAGAGAGGAAGATCTTCCATCCGATGATTCACTCCCCAAGTGAGCGCAACGGGCCGATACTATGCCAATCCGAAGCCAGGAGCCTCTTCCGGGTCTCCCACGCGGGTGCAGGTTCCCAAAGCTTTGGGCCGTCCTCGACTGCTTTCCCAGGCCACAAGCAGGGAGCTGGAAGGGAAGCGGGGCTGCCGGGATTAGAACCGGCGCCCTTATGGGATCCCGGGCGTGCAAGGCGAGGACTTAACCACTTGCGCCACCGCGCCGGGCCCTGTAACTCTGACTTTTAAATAAATCTTTAAAAAAAAAATTCTTTGGGCCCGGCATGATAGTGTAGTGGTTAAAGTCCTGGCCTTGAATGCGCCAGGATCCCATATTGGCGCAGGTTCTAATCCCAGAAGCTCCACTTCCCATCCAGCTCCCTGCTTGTGGCCTGGGAAAGCAGTTGAGGATGGCCCAAAGCTTTGGGACCCTGCACCCATGTGGGAGATTGGGAAGAAGCTCCTGGCTCCTGGTGTCGGAATGACTCAGCTCCAGCCATTGCTGCCGTTTGGGGAGTGAACCATCAGATAGAAGATCCTCCTCTTTGTATATTCACCTTTCCAATAAAAAATAAATCTCTCTCTCTTTTTTAATTATTCTGCAGGGCCTGGCGGTGTGGCCTGGTGGCTAAGGGCCTCGCCTTGAATGCACCGGGATCCCATATGGTCACCGGTTCTAATCCCGGCAGCTCCACTTCCTTTCTATCCTCCTCTTTGTATATCTGACTTTGTAATAAAACTAAAATAAATCTCTAAAAAAAATTATTCTGCAGAAAAAAATTGCCTTTTCTGGAAGGCTTAAATATACAAAGCTGTGCGTATTACCACAGAAACACTCAAGATACCTACAGTCACTTTACCACCTTTCGCTAAGAGCTCATCTGATGGAATTAAGGCTCCAGAAGAAGTGAGGTATGGGAGACAAATGGGTGGAAAGGGAAGTCAGAACACAGGGGAGAAACCTGAGAAGCTTCCTGAATTTTCTGGAAAAAGGCTTCACTCCGTGGTAGCTGCACTGGATGCATACGATGCCCCTGGAAGCAGGTGACCCAGTATGGGCTCAACACAGAAGTCAGGGGAAGAACAAGCATGGTCTCTTGTGGTCACCCCTTTAGTCAAAAGGGGAGGAATTAACCAAGGCTATGGGATTACCACGGACCTGGATACTGATTTACAGAAAGGGCAAGCAATGTGAACCACGCACTTGAAGTCTTCTCCTTTGCTCTCTTTCTGGTTCCTCCTCTTGGTCCAGCCCAGATCCCACTTAAGGGAAGGGATGGAGGGCAAGCAGAAGGGCAGAGCGGATGAATCCTGGTACCCGGCAACTCATAACAGCTCTCACCCTAAAGGCATCTTTGGAGAAGGACAGTAGGTTTAAATTTGTTGATGGGCTCAGCGCAGCAGCCTAGTGGCTGAAGTCTTCGCCTTGCCTGTGCTGGGATCCCATATGGGCGCAGGTTCTAGTCCCTGCACTTCCCATCCAGCTCCCTGCCTGTAGCCTGGGAGAGCAGTCAAGGATGGCCCAAAACCTTGGCACCCTGTACCCATATGGGAGACCTGGAAGAAGCTCCTGGCTTCAGATCAGATCAGCTCTGGCTTTTGAGGTCACTTGGGGAGTGAATCAGCAGGCAGAAGCACTTTTTTCTGTCTCTCCTCCTCTTTGTATATCTGACTTTACAATAAAAGTAAATAAATCTTAAAAAAAAAATCACTGAGACATGGGGCAGGATCCTGCAAGACTCTGCCCTCCTGGACTTGACCTGCTTAGCGAAACTGACCTCTCGGCCTTATTCCCTGGGCTATCCAGGTTCCACCACAGGGAGGTCCAGTCTCTGTGCCTTAGGTCTAGGTTTGGAGGAAGCACCCTGCAGCTGGTCCAACCCATTAAGCTGGCCCATGACAGCTTCCCCCACCTCACCTGTCTCACCTTAGCTTAGACCTGGAACTGATGCAGACCACAATTTATAATAATAAGGGAGGGGGCCCGGCGCTGTTGCCTAGCGGCTAAAGTCCTTTTCTTGAATGTGCCGAGATCCCACATGGGCGCTGGTTCTAATCCTGGTAGCTCCACCTCCCTTCCAGCTCCCTGCTTGTGGCCTGGGAAAGCAGTCGAGGTCGGCCCAAAGCCTTGGGACCCTGCACCCGCGTGGGAGACCCGGAAGAAGCTCCTAGCTCCTGGCTTCGGATTGGCTCAGCACTGGCTGTTGTAGTCATTTGGGGACTGAACCATTGGACAGAAAATCTCTGTCTCTCTTCCTCTCTCTCTCTGTATATATATAACTTTGCAATAAAAATAAAATAAATCTTTTAAAAAAAAGAATAAGAGAGGGGTGCAGAGTTCAGAGGGGGAAGACTGGGTGCCCAGTGGCCACAAGCTGGCTCCCTAGAAGACCACAGGGGGGACGCGGGGCAGCAACACCAGATGGGAGCAATGGCCTCCTACCAGTTGCCTCTGCAGGGGCCTTGGGGTGGCCTGGCCCAGCTTCACCGGCAGGCTCGTGGGCTTCCGCAGGGTCCCCACTCTGGGAGCCCTCAGCAGCTGCACCCTCTAGTCCTTTGCCCTCCTCCTCGGCAGGGAGCTGGGCATCCACGCCAACTTCCAAGACTCGAATGGTCTCATGGCCTGACATCACGATGACCTGCAAAGGAGAGGGCAGGGCCACTGCTGGGGTTTGGCTGATGGGAGAGGGGAAGAAGGAGGCATGGCACCAGAGGCCAGAGCTCTGGGGATGACCAGGGGGCATAGGAGAGGGCACTTCACCGGGAGACCCTCCTGTCCAGAGCCCGTGACAACTGGCCATTCCCCGTCTCACAGGAATCATTGTTAGAAGCAAGCAGGCGTGGGGACACAAGCCAGGAGGCCGCCCACAGCACCAAAGCCAACAGCACAGATTTCTATTTGGTCCCTGTCTTGGATTCAGGCAGTGTGTGATCCACCTCCCACGGCAGCAGCCTCTTGGCTTGGGCTGGGCCAGGAAGCAAATCGCTTTGCCCTTTGCCTTAAGACACCCTAGGCCTTCTCCAAAGACAAAGGAATGAAAAATGCTCGCAATTCCTTCATGTCCAGAACTCAGGCAGGGAAGGGCCAGGACGCTCCTGCAAGCTCGCTTCCTGAAATAAGTGTCTCGGGGCCCTGTCCTACAGCTCTGAATCCTGGGGACCAGGTGAGCCAGCTGCTGTGAGCAGGCACGGATTGCAGAGCGTGCCCCCCGCCCCTCTTCACCCCGAGTCATGCAGGGGTTCCAGCGCCTCCCCAGAGCGCTCGTCTTCCCTTCCTGCACTCAGTGATCTCGGTGCTGCTCCCCGGGTCCTTCAAGAATCAGAGACAGGGGTAGGGAGATCAGGTGCTGCTTGGGACACCCCAGTGCTGCTGGGAGTCCCGCCTCTTCAGCTTCCTGCAACCTGGCCCAGCAAACAGATGCTGGCCCAGTGGAAGCTCCTGGCTCTGGTATGGCTCAGCTCTGGCCACTGCAGTTATTGAAGGAGAGAACAATGGGTGGAAGAGCTCTGTCTCTTCTCCCTTTAACTCTAGACTTGCAAAAACATTGTATCTATTTTACAAGAACATTTACAAGCACACTTGTACAGAAGAAAAAAATAATAAGTTACCAGGTGTTCAAACCTTACTCCCTCTACGTGTATACATTTAAAAGCCTTGTTGTTTGGAAGGAGTATGTTGTGGCGCAGCACATTGAGCCACCTGCATTCCATGCTGGAGTGGCCAGGAGAGAGTCCTGCCTCCACGCCCCATCCGATTAAGGGTGCACATTAGCAGGAATGTGGGTTTGGGGCTCAACCTCAGGCACGCCCCCTGATATCTTAACCACTATGTCACATGCTAAGCTCCCTCTGGACAGGTGATGGAGAACTGGGGTGAGACGATGAGGGGCTCTGGGGAGGCTTCCTCTTCCCTTCAGTGCATCCCCCTCCCCACCCACCCCTTGCCATCCCAGACGATACCTGCTCATTGACAGTCAGAGCTGACTCTGACCCTGCTCCCGGATCCATGGTCACTTGTCGGGGTGGAGTGGGGGCGCGTCCTGGGTAAGACGGGATTGCAAAAGCAAAGGCTGCTGTGACACAGGGCTAACAATTCCCACACTGTCTAGAAAAGTCAGAAGTCGGACGGAGGGGGAACACGGAAGCCAGAGAGCCAACGGCACCGACTCCGCTGTCTCACTTCCTGCAGCACCCCAGAAGGATTTACACTCGGAGAAAGCAGGAACATGTGCACTTAGGGTGACAAGAGGGAAGGGAGGAGGGCCAGGCATCTGTCCCCAGGGCTCCCCAGTGAAGACAGCGCACCCCGCAGAACCTAAGGTGTATCAGACAAGGCAAGGAATAACCTGGGGATTAGCATACTCTGGGCAGACTTCCTGGAAGAGAGGGTAAAGACATACATTAACAAGGCAGTCTCACATATTCATGGTCATGTAGACCCCCGCTGGGGACACTTACTGCAAACGCAGCTCTCCAGACTCCTAGCCCCCAACAAACCTTAGAGATTCTGATTTGGCTCTCCGGTGACTATGTGGCCTTTGACAGTGAAGGGAGGACATCCCAGGAGGAGGATCAGAGTACAGGAAGGACTAGTGGGGCAGGGCTCAACGCTTACACAGGAAAGAAGACAATTAACAGGGCCCTGCTGTGTGTTGAGCATTTTCTGGAGCACCAACGCTAGGGGAGATGGGTGGCTGGGGACGCGATTACCACCAGGTGCTTTAGGCGGTAAAAGGCAAATTCATTTCCCCCTTTCTCCTTTGCTCTGCCTTATCTTTGTAATGAAGGGAAAACTGCCAAAATCAGAATGTTTGAGATTCCCTCCATCCCATCCTATTCCTATGTTGAAGCTCCAAGATGCTTTTGATCTTGGATTTCCCAGCATCTAGTACTGTGAGAGCTGCATGCCTGTCTCTATAAAACTACACTTTTTTTGCTGTTGTCATAGCAGCTTGAATGAACCAAGACAAATTCACCCAATACAAAATTCCCCATTGTAGAGGAGCCACCCAAGGAGAATGGACAGGTTATTCAGCTATCACTGCTGCCTAGTGCCAGAACACTCCGAAGGAAGCTCCATAGCCATGGGGTCAGTCCCCTCCCAGCCCCATCTCCCAGCCCCCAGCAGCGACTCATTCACTTCTTCTACTTTGGACTGAACCTATACAGCAGGTGGCTTCCTGCACCTGGCTCCTTTTACCTAGCTGACCTTTGCTGTATCAGAATGTCCTTTCTTTTCCTGTTTGAGTAATATCTTATTGTCTGGGGAAGGGCAACAGTTAAGACGCCCGAGTCCCTGGGGGCAGATGCTGTACAGTGGGTTAAGCCACCACTCGGATACCCACATTTCATAGCACAGTGGCTGGCTGGAGTCCTGGCTACTTCATGTTTTCCTTCCAACTTTCTGAAAAGTACTTGGGTTCCTGCTAACAGCACGGATCAGGATGAACTTCTGGGCTTTTGGCTGCAGCCTGGCCTAGCCTGTGGCCATTTGGGAAGGAAAGCAGAGGATGGAAGCTATTCCTCTGTCTCTAAAATAAACTAACAAACAGGCCTGACATGCAACTCTGGCTCCTAACACCAGCTACCTGCTAATGAAGACCCTGGGAAACAGCCATGGTGGCTTGCTCAAGCTACTGGGTGCCGGCCACCCATGTGGGAGACCCTTACTGAGCTGATGAATAGGTGGGCTGTCTCCTTCCTGTGTATAGTGTATCTTATGGATATTTGCACATAAACACTGGGTTTCTTTTTGTTGGGTATCTATTGATCACCCTTGGGGATTTAGCATTCTGTCCCTTGGCAGAAGACTCCCTGGTCAAAGCAGGCAAGGAGAAACAGGATGGTCCCTCCCCCTTTCCTTCCTCCTCTGGCCACCTTGCCGTGGGATCTAGAAGAGGGTCATGGTCCCGGTGTGGTAGCCTAGCAGCTAAAGTTCTCGCCATATGGGATCCAGCCCTGGTCCCGTGTGGGTGCTGGTTTGTGTCCTGGCTGATCTACTTCCCATCCAGTTCCTTGCCTGTGGCCTGGGAAAGCAGTCAAGGACGGCCCAAAGCCTTGGGACCCTGCATCTGCGTGTGGGACCTGGAAGAGGCTCCTGGCTTCATATCAGCTCATTTTCAGCCATTTCTGCCACTTGGGGAATGAACCAGTGGACAGAAGAGCTTTTTCTCTGTATTTCCTTCTCTCTGACTTTCCAACAACAACAACAAAAAAAATCTTAAAAAAAGAAAAAAGAGGGCCAACAATTCAACAGACCTGGCAATTTGAGAAAGGACAAAAGTAAGATAAGGAGGTAGAGGAGCAGAGGGATTTGGTAGAACATCTGGTGAGCATCGCCCACCTTGCTGGGACTCTAGCCTCTTTCCCGAGGCATGTCTCCCCCAAACTTTGTGCAGGAGAGCCTTCCACGTGCTGTTCAGACAGAGCGTGGCGATTGACCGCAGCTGCTGGTTGGAAAGCAGGATGCGCCACGAAAGAGTCCCACACGGAAGCCAATTAGCAAGTCGTCTGAAAACTCAAGAGACAGAAACAAAACTGCAAGGGAAAATCCGTGAGAGCTGATACAGACATTGTGTGAGAAGATTTTTCCCATCCCAGAGAATGGCCATGTCGCAGAAGGCAGCAGCAGGAGCTGGCACTGGAAGGCACGTGATACCGTTCTTGAAGGGCCTGAGTTGTGGCCCCCTGGCTCCTTGCTGCCACCCATGGGCACCCACCCGGAACGGCTTAGCAGAGACAAATGGTAGAGAAGGCTTGGGCAATTCACCCTTGACATTCTACGAGCTTATAACACCCCGGGTCTTCAATGCCCAGTGCTTTGTGTTGAAGCAAAGGTTATTCCTCGACCACGCCTGTGACACATCTAGGTCCTCCCTGATCGCTGACCCATGCCTCAGCCCACCAGAAGTGCAGCCAGAGTAGAGGCAAAGCTTCTCCCAGCCTACCTCCCGAAGTCTTACCTTTCAGTGGCTTCTACCAGGGACATCTATGTGATAGGCCCACCTCTGCAGACAGAGAAGACACAGCATTTGGGCACTGGGCTATGCGCTGTGCTACCCTTGTGCAGCATCTGGGCAGCCCATGCCACCTGGACCGACTCCTTTGCCTCCTTTTTCCAGCTGGATCAAGCCAGGGTGAATTGTGGGGGGTGCCGATTGATTGCTGACAACCAGAGTCTGGGGAGCTCTAGGGCCCTCCAGGGCTTCAGTGTTCGCAATGACCAGGCTGACCCCATCACTGTCCCCTGGGAACAGCTCTGGTTTCCAGCAGTACTCTAGGACGCCCAGGAGGTGTCCGGAGAAGGCTCAAGCACATCAAAACTCCCTAGAACAGCCTGCAATTCCCGCCAGGCGAAATCCGGAAAGCCCCGCCCTTCATTAGGCCAGTACATTGGCAGGAGCTGCTGTGTGCTGGGTTACAGTGGCGAAAAACTATCTCCCATGGGGGAGCCCTGGGAAAGTAGGTTACCACGATACAATATGTGTTTGTGCCCTGGTGGATGACAAAGTGGTGGAGGATCTATTGCCAGGGACACCTAATGTGATGTGTGTATCCTTTTTCTCAAATGCAAATGTTATGTAAGGAGAATCTCAGGGTGGCACAGTGAGGTAGGAAGCCTAATCCTCTGCCTGCGGCGCTGGCATCCCATGTGGGTTCTGGTTTGAACCCCAGCTCAAGCTTTCAATCCAGCTCTCTGCTAGTGGCCTGGGAAAGCAACAGACAACGCCCAAGGCTTTGGACCCACCCCTGCACCCAAAAGGGAGACCTGGAAGAATCTCCTGGCTCGCAGCTTCAGAAAAGCTCAGCTCTGGCCGCAGTCGTTTGGGAAGTGAGCCAGTGAATGCAAGATGGATCTCTCTCTCTCCCTCTCTTTAATTCTAAATTTCAAGTAAAAATAAATAAATTTTAAAAAGAAACATTTCATCCTATGTAAGAAAATCGAACTTTTAAAAAGTCATACTTTTAACAGGGGCCCACATTGTGGGTTTTTTTTTTTTTTAATTTATTTTATTTATTGGAAAGTCAGATATACAGAGAGGAGGAGAGACAAAGAAGATCTTCCGTCCAATGATTCACTCCCCAAGTGAGCACAACGGCCGATGCTATGCCGATCCGAAGCCAGGAGCCAGGAACTTGTTCCGGATATCCCACATGTATCCCTTTGGGTATAGGGTCCCAAAGTTTTGGGCCATCCTCGATTGCTTTCCCAGGCCACAAGCAGGGAGCTGGATGGGAAGTGGAGCTGCCGAGATTAGAACCGGCGCCCATATGGGATCCCGGGGTGTTCAAGGTGAGGACTTTAGCCGCTAGGCCACGGCGTTGGGCCCCCACATTGTGGTTTTAATCACTTCCTCAACACTTAATGTGACAGGTTTCCCAGTTGCAAAATACCTTCTCCTTACACCATGATGGGTTGGGATAAGCCCTCTGTGAAGGTTGGTTAAGGTGAGCATGATTGTACCTGAATTCAGTTGAAACAAAGTTACATATCTTATCGGAAATCTTGTTTTTCCTTTCTCCTTTAAAACATTTTTTAATGGACACACAGTAGCAATACATAGTAACGAGCGCAGTGTTACCTTTCAATACTTGCCTACTTTCTAACTTTGAACAGGAGCAATTCCTCTGGCTGGGCCGCTTGACCTTCCCATCTGTCAACCGCCCTATGCTAGAGTTTTAAGTTGTGTACCTGTTTACTTTCTGCATGTACAGCTGCCACTCAGAAGTGCCCCTGCACAGAGCATGGCACTGGGCTACCAGGACACGGGGCAGCTGCCAATCCTCTCTTCAGTGCCTCCCTACACGCTTTCCCCCAGTTCCACAAGGACCACTAAAGTCCCCAACTCAAGCCTGGACCTCACTGGGAACTTCAGACTCATCTATTCAAGTGCCTACTGATGGCACATTTCATCTCATACTTCACAGAAAAAAGCAGGCTCAGGGCGCGTGTCGCTTGGCAGCTCCAAGGGCTGACAGCCTGGCCCAGCTCAGCAAAGAGCAGCCTCACCCCTCTGGAGCGGCCCAGGCCTTCTAGCTGCTTCTATCTCAGATTTACTCCCTCAGCAGACCCTTTGGCTCTTTCTTCTCTTTTCTCTTTTCCTGGCACCACCCCCAGCCATGCAGCTGCGGGTCTTCATTGTGAGAACACCACACTTTCCCTGCCCTCTGCATCTAAACGGTACCTTCCCAGTTCTTAGGTCACCAGACCCCCGGCAGCCACCTTCCCTCCCAGCTGTCACCACCTGGTGATGGGTTTTCTGTATGGGCCCCCACTTCCGTCCACTCCTGGCCCTTAGACCCAGGTTTCCCATCCTACCTGCTGAAGCCTAGCAATCACTGTCTGTCAGTGGGGTCCCAGCACTATCTCCAGACAGGTTCCTCGGGTCAGCTTTGCTATGTATTAACTTGTGCAACTTGAACCAGTGATTTGACTTCAGTGTCTCAGTTTTCTCATCCATAGTAATGGGAACAGTAGCAGCTCTTGCAGAGGGCTACGGTGGGTCCTGAAGGAACTCCGCATGCAAACGGTTTAGAACCACACCTGCTGGATAGAAGTCTTCAGTGGCTGGCGGATATTATAATTTGCATACATGATCTCAATTAATTATTTTAACTTATTATAACCATTAAGAAGGAGGCATATTTCTCAGTTTCCCCACTTCTTAGCTGTGAGACCCTGGGCAAGGGTTTGCCTCTTTATACCTCAGTTATAATATCTGAACTATTGTAATACAATAATACAATATCTGCTATAGCGGTGTAGCAAGTTGTTCAATAAATGGTAAATGTTATTCAGCAGAAGCATGAGGCCATGCAGCTCGGTAGTTCATGAAATAAAAACTCAAGCTTGGCCAACCATGTGACTGACAGCAGCTGGGTAGAGGGTTATTTTATTGTTCCGGTTTTCACACTGATAAATCCTAATAGTAACAGGAGCCATGCATAGCATTAGCCATCATCACCCTAATGTTCTAGATTAAAAAAAAAAAAAAAAAAAAAAGAGAGAGAGAGATGAGACCATAGTCTTCCAAGGAAAACTTATATTCCAATATTACAAAACTTATATTCATATATTAGATCCCTTGGCCTTGCGATTACGAGGCCACTTGGAGCACTCCTTCTCAGGGTGCCTGGGTTCAAATTCTGACTCTGCGTCCAACTCCAGCTTCCTGTACCCTGTGAGGCAGCAGGTGTTGGCTCCAGCACATGTGTCCATGCTATCCAGAGGGGAGACTCAGACTGGACTAACCCGAGCTGTTGCAGGCAGCTGGGGCAGTGAACTAGTAGACGAAAGATCTCTGCTTTTCAAAACATATGCTGACCATCAAACAGCTATGTGGGGATTGGGTTGTGGTACAGCTGATTAAACTGCTGCTGTTTGCAACTCCAACATATACTGGGGTGCGAGTGTGAGTCCCAGCTGCTCTGCTTCCAATCCAGCTCCCTGTCAAGGCACCTGGGAGAGCCGTGGAGAATGGCCCAAGTCCTTGAGCCTCCGCACTCATGGGAGACCTGGACGAAGCTCCCGGCTTCTGGCTTCAGCCTGGCCCAGGCCCAGCTCGTGCAACCATTTGGGGAGTGAACCAGAAGATGCAAATTTGATCTCTCTGTCTTTCCCTCTCTCTCTTTCTGTAACTCTGCCTTTCAAATAAATAAAATATATGTATATATTTTTAAAGAGTCATTTTTTTTTTCTAACTCACCTTTTTAAATGACCAGGTAGGACTTACAAGTAGAACAGCTCACTTTCTGCCAGCACATGTGTTGCAGTCACTGTGTGGTCTGCCCGTGCTGGTTTTCACACTGGTAACCTACCCAATCACGCCCAGAGTGAAAATCCCCCAACAGGCGAAGCTTGGTTGGAACCCTTCACGGCAGGGCACTTGGAGATTTTTGTTGAACCAAAGAAAAAACGAATGAAATTCTTCTACAGCGGACCATGGCAAGAAACACCAGGCCTTGGCCATGTCACCCTAAGCCCCAGGACTTGGCTGCAGACCTAATCACGGACTCCTTCTTCTGAAGGCCCTGGCCAGTCCGACAGAATGCCTTAGAGCCCCAAGGCCAACGCAAGGGTGGGGAACCAGGCAGCCCTGTGTTTGGGTACAGAGTGGCAGAGGAGGCTACCACCCGGAGCCAAGTCTTTTCTTCCACCTTCTTGGGGCTTCTGATCAGCCCCTATTAGGCGGCTCTGCCTTTCCCCGAAGGCTTTAGGCTTCTAATCGGAGCTGGTGGAAGGATCCTTGCACTCAAGTGGAGGCCACGAGGCACCCGGGGCGGGGGAGGGGGGCTCCCTTGCCAGGAGACAGCATCCAGGGAGCATACATCGGGTCCATTATAGGACTATTATTATTAATAATATTGTTATTAAATATTTATGAAGCGCTCACGCTCGACTCAATAGGAGACCCTCCCACCACTCTCCCCCCCACCCCATCCCCTGCCTTCTAGCAACACCGGGGCCCCTGGCAACGAGACCCACCGGTCCTCCCGGGGTTCTGTTGGCTCGGACTCAGTCGCGACAGGTGGTGCCAATGGCCGGGAACCCAGGCGCCCGGGTCCTCCGCTCCTGATCGCCACCGGAGTGAGCGCAGAGCGTCCCCTGTGGTCCGTCCCCGACCCCGGGCTGCAGGCGCAGCCTCCAGGAGGGGTCGGCCCCGCTTCACCTCCCCCATCCCCACCCCCACCGCGTCCACCAGGCGGCCGCCCCCTCCTCTCCCGGCCCCCGGCAGGCGGTAGGCTGCGGGGTGCGGCCCTGGGGTGCGGCCCCGTCCCGGAGCGCCCCGCGCCCCAGCCCCGCGGCTTTTTTTTTCTCTTTATCATAAATATATAAATTATGCTAATTACGGGCATTGCATATTAACCAAACCCGAAACCTCCCCTGCCCGGCCCCCTCCCCCTCCGTGCAAACCCCTCCCCGCCCGGACCCCGCTACTCACCGGAGCCCGAGCCCGAGCCGCTTCGCGCGGTGCTGGCGGCCACCGGGTCCGACGCTCAAGGCACAGCCGGCGCCCGGGGGCCGGGGCCGGGGCCGGGGCGGCCGCCGCCCGCAGACAAAGGAGCCAGTGCGGCCGGGCTGGGCTGGGCTCGGCCGGGACGCTGGTCCGGGACCCGCCGCCGCCCCCGGGCCCCCCAGCCCGGGCCGGGCAGAGCCGAAGGGGGCGGCCGGGAGGCGGGAAGGGGAGATTGGGGGGTCGACCAGGTGTGTATTTTCCTTCTCGTTCCCCCCTTCCCTGGCCCCCCCTGCCTCCCCCCTTCTCCCCTCCTTCTGCTACTTGGATTTTTTTAGCTGCTGCGTCATGAGCATAATTTATGCAAAGCGCTTTGCCGCATGCTGCACCGCCCGCGCCAGCCGCCGGGGGCGGGCGGGGAGGGGAGGGGACGCGGAGCCGGCGGCCGGGGGGAGGGCCGGGCTGCACGGCGCGGGGGTGGGGGCGCCCCGAGGCCCGCCGTGGGGCGGATGGAGGGGTGTCCGGGGGTCGTTGCATCTCGGGTGCCGCCACGAGCGCAGTCAGCGCTGGGGACCGCGCGCCGCGGCCTCCCCGACGGGGCTGGGGCGGACCCCGGGGCTCCCAGCCCACGGTGTCCTTTTCCTCCCGGTCGGCACCGTCCGCAAGTCCAGAGTCAAGTTCAGGAATACGTTCCCCCCATCCCAGTCCAGCAGCGGCCGCAGACGGCCGGGAGAACACGGGCGTGGCCCAGCCAGCGGATGCCCGCGAGGGCCCAGGACGCCAAGGCCGCTCGCTACCCGAGGATGGACCGAGAAGGATGCAGCTGCCCCAAGTAGACAAGGAACGAGAAAAAGTTCAGTGCAGAGCGTGGACATTGGCGGGGGAGGGGGAGGAAAAGGCAGCTTTGGGGAGGGGGAAAAGTGGGTGGACCAATGAGAGAGCGGGAGTTGGGGGCCCGAGTGGGGGAGAAGCGAGGAGAAAGGCATTGGGACGCGGGAGGCGCTGTAGGTCCGCGCGCGTGGGTGCAGGCGCGGGCAGTGCGCTCCGGGCCCCGCGTGCCTCCCAGCGCACTCAGCCTGCGGGGGACTCCGGACATGTGAATGTGAGCTAGTGGGAAGAACGGACAGGGTGGGGAGTGTTTTCACCCGTTCCCAGACTGTTCCTGGGGCTCGCTCTTGTAGCCTGCATGGGAGGCGCGCAGCCGGGGGGCCCTTGACCGCGGATCCCGGAGCGCGCTCTTGTAATACCCAGCTTTGAGGATCAGCGCTTCCGCTGGCATGCCCAGGCGACCTCATCCAAGACTCTTATGACAGCTACTTCAAGTTGTGTTGTGAAGCCTGGTTATGACCCTGTTACGTGGGAAAAACAACACGGACTTTTGCAAACGGTGCTGGGTTGCGCGTGGTGGTGTCAGAGTGTCCGGCTGCAGCTTGCCACCCTGGAAGTCCCTATCAGAGCTTCTGCTGTGCTTTGGGATGCTCCACTTCCGATCCAGCTCCCTGCAGTTGCAACGTCTAGAAAACCAGCTGCAGCGTGGGGCAAGCTCTTGGACCGCTACTGCCCTTATGGGGGACCCGGAGGGAATTGAAGGCTCTTGAACTCAGCCTGGTCCAGCTCCAGCCTTCACTGCCATCTGGGGAGTGAAGCAGCGGATGCACTTTCGCTGCCTCGCCCTGCCTTTCATAAACAGATTTTTTTAAAAGGTTTTTTTGTTGGAAAGACAGATTTATAGAGAGAAGAGAAACAAAGATCTTCCACCTGCTGGTTGACTCTCCAAATGGCTTCAACAGCCAGAGCCAGGAACCACTTCTGGTCTCCCACACGGGTGCACAAGGCTCAAGGACTCAGGCATCCTCCGTTGCCTTCCCAGGTCATAAGCAGGAGGCTGGATCAGAAGTGGAGCAACCACGACTGGAACCATTGCCTGTATGGGATGCTGGCACTCGCAATGGAAGGATTAGCCAGATTAAGCAGCTGAGCCATAGCGCTAGCCCCACATAAATAAATACATATATAACTTTTTTTTTTTTAAGTAAAAGGGACAACAGTTGGCACTATACGATTGTGAAATTTGGTGCCACACAGTAGTGTGAACCTGTCTGGGGGGAATGTAAATCTACTGCCTGGCAAGACTCGATAACTCGGGGAGGATTTTGCCGAGTCTGTCCTCCTGTGGCTACAATTCTTTATGTGCCACACACCTTTGTGTTTCCTGTGGTTTTTATGGGAGGAAAGAGTTCAGGGTGGCTGATGAACTTGCTGGGGAAGGCACAAACTCCCAGTCTTTGTGACTGCATTGGCTGCTGGGGGCCTGAATGCATCAGATGTGAACAGAGAAGTTTAGGCATCCATCAAAATGCTAATCACGGTTTTCTTTGGGGATAAAAAAAAAAAAAGGCTCCTTTAATTTCTTATTTTTCATTTTTATTTCTTTAAAGATTTTATTTGTTTTTGATTGAAAAACAGATTTGCAGAGAGAAGGAGGGGCAGAGAAAAAGAGCTCCATTAGCTGGTCCACTCCCCAAACGGCTGCAACAGCCAGAACTGAGTCACCCCAAAGCCAGGAGCCAGGAGTTTCCTCCAGGTCCTGCATGCAGGCCCAAAGCTTTGGGCCATCCTCTACTACTTTCCCAGGCCAAAAGCTGGGAGCTGGTTGGGAAGCAGGGCAGCAGGACACGAACTGGCACACGTATGGGATCAAGGCAAGGATTTAGGTACCAGGCCATCATGCTGGGCCCAGGAACCCAACTGTTGGGACCATCCCTGCGGTCCTCCTGGTTGTGCATTAGCATGAACCTGGAATGGAGGCAGAGACAGAACTTGAACCAGGCACTTTGGTACTACATATGAACATCCCAAATGGTGCCTTGACTACTGTGCCAAAACCCACTCCTGCTGTTAATTTTTTTTTTTAATGTATATATTATTTGAAAGGCAGCATTATAGAGAGTGATCTTTCATCCACTGGTTTACTTCCTGAATAGCCACAACAAGCAGAGCTGGATCAGAGTGAAGCCAGGAGCCCGGAATTTCTTCCAGGTCTCCCACATGGGTACAGGGGTACAACATCTTGGGCCATCCTTTGTTGCTTTCCCAGGACACAAGCAGGGAGCAGAATTGGAAGTGGAGCCGCCTGGACTTGAACTGACACCCATACAGGATGCTGGTACAGTAGGCTTTGGCTTAACACACTGCGCCATGGCACCAGCCCTAATGCCTGTTATTTTTATAATAAACCCAGCAGTGACCATTTCTGTGTGGGTAAGCAGGAGATGCCACCAGTGTCCTGCCTTGCAGGCGACTCCTCTTCAGCAGGACCCCAGCCCAGCACATTTTTGCCTCTCCTGAATTGATTCCCACTCCGTTGCCTTGAGGGACTTCACTTGTTCCATGCATACTTGTTATGCACAGGCTAGATACTAAATCTCTAGTGGAAAACAAGGCAGACTGCTGCCTGGGAATATGTAATCTACAAAAAAACAACCACATGCATGGATCGTTGGGCCTTGTGATTAAGAAAGGGAGAG